AATCAATGAATATCTTATATTTTTTTTAATTGCATTTCATTTCAGAGTATTATCCTCAAGTTACAAATCCATTCAAACACATGATCCCACTGAAATGCAGCTGCATCTGGGCAGGAACAAATGTTGCTTTAGTGTGGTTCTGCCACTTCTGTGAGGTTCAGCGGGTAAGCACAGCAGCTCTGTGCATGCTGTCTACAGGGCATCACCCTGGACTAGATTTTGTTGCTTTCACACTAGCATGCACTAGGGTAGAAGAGAGCACCAGGAAGCATCACCATCCCTGTAGCCAACATTCAGGAAGCCTTTGTGCTATTCATTTCCTGAGGGGGGGGGGGTGCTTTATGAACATAAGATATATAGTAGTCATATCACCCACAAGCAGAACCAGACACCCCAAGGGGTCACTATTAATTGTGAGAGAAGAGCCCATGGACCTAGTCTCCTTTGCACCCTGCTTAGTAGTTCTAAGTTGGCCTTGAGGAGTGCTCACAGTAGCTCCATTAAGGAAGCACAGCAGCTACTCTGGAGTGAGTCTGTTTCTAGTACTGCTGGAGGTATCCTGCCTGCCTCAGTCCTCTGTAGATAAAGGCTTCCTCAAGCTGCCACCCCCCTGCTAGCACAGCACTTCACTTAAGGTGTCAGTGGCTGCTCAAGCTCTCATAAAGCAGAACTGAGATCCAGCGAAACGAGAGCGGGTGTTTGCTGCTGCCACAAAACTTAGCTAGTGCGGCTGTTCCTGTCTTTAAAAGGCCAGTAGGGTCACACTGTATATGGTTATACAGCAACTTAGTGAATGCAAAATCTGTCTTGAATAAAAATGGAATAGTGGGGCAAAGAGTGGCTGTGTCATCTCCCTGCACATGCCGTGAATTCACAATGACCACTTAGGCAGCAAGGGATATAGCAACAGAAAAGTCTCCCTGTGTCTCTCTCCAGACAGATACACAAAAGCTGGGAAAAAAGAGAGGAGCTGCTGGTCATTTTTATTCATTCTCTGGCAATCTGAAATGGTCTGGCAGTGTCTCAGAGTTATTCCAAGGCCCAGAAAAAAAGGAGACAGCAAGAGAGAGAATGCACAGGGGAGAATTTATGTTTTCATCAAGGAACCTTCTTGTTCTACAAGGGCCAGCAATGTATTTCCAATGTTGTCTTGTTAACAGTAAAAAGACTGTGTGATCCATCTAAATAGAAAAGGCACACACCAAAGGAAGAATGGTGTGCCAGGCATCTTCATGTGACTCCAGAGTGACACAGTGTCTTGCCTCAGACACTGGCCAGGGCTTGAGTGGCCAGCAGAAATCATAGCTTAATTGTTGTCACAATACACTTAGAGCAGTGGCCGTGAATCACCAGTTTATAGACAAGCCAAGCTTGCAGCCTTGAAGGAAAGGTGGACAGGAAGAGTGCTAGCAAGGGCAGATGGGGGGTGGGGGGTGAGAGGTGCACCAGTGCAGTCACACCCCCTTCTGCCACCACTGTCGCCAAATGACCCACAGTGGCACAGGTGAAGCTTAAGACACTCCTGCCCCACTCCAGGTGCAGGGTATGTGGGGTGCCGGGTTTGGCAGGGGAGAGCAGCAGTAATGGGTGGGTTTCTTCTTCCTGCACCTGCTCTCTGCTGCTTCCCCTCCCCATGTCCCTCACTGGCTAGGAGCAGGACCAGAGGGAGGAACCCACCTTGTGTCACTGCCACTGTCCCTGGCTGGCACAGGCACAGGCACAGGCACAGGCACAGGCACAGGCACAGGAGGAGCCCCAGAGCTCCTCCAGCCCTACTCCAGACACAGGCTGCAAGGAGCAGCTGCGCAGGGAGCTGGATTTAGCTGGGGACAGTAGCAGTAGCATGCAGATTCCTCCTTTTGGGAGGCGCGGCACTCTGGGGACGGGGTTGGTTAGGCAGGGAGCAGGCACTGGAAGGAGGAATCTGAGTGCTATTGCTGCTGCCCTCAGCATCGCTCCTCCCCACAGCCCCCTGCTGAAGTGATGCAGGAACACCTCTCAGGATTCCCCAGTGCCTGGGTCAGCCAGGGAGTGTAGCAGTGGTGGCAGTGGGTGGGTCCCTAGCCTTCATGTGCCTGCTCTCTGCCTGGCTTCCTGCTATCCCAGGGGCTCTGGCCATGCCTTGCCCCCATCCCCACATAGTGTGAGGGGCAATATGCTGCTCCCTCCCCTGACCTTTAGTAAATCTTGGATCTGCCCATGAGTGCTAGCTATGGAGTGGGCCTTGCCAAATCCAAAGGTTTGGCATGGGAGCCAATAGATGTTTTTAAAGTTGGGGGCCAGCCATGGCATATTAATCACTGACAGCTCTGAAGACAAGTGCAATGTAATTACTAGTAACATATTTTGAAGTAATGAGAGAGAGGAATATGCCCCCACCCCAACCACACTATCATCAGGGAGATGCAGAGCAAGGGTGCATTGCAAACATACTGTGGGAATGTTAGTTACTGGAAATCATGGCAAATATTTACTAGCAAGTTCTCACAATGAGAGGCTCAGCTCAGCCATAACTCAAGGCCAGAATGGACAGCGCAGGGGTAGTTTATTGCTTTTGCTGAAAGGATACATCCATCAGAGCTAAAATGCCTCTGCATGAATCAAGGCTGAATCCTTCTCCTAGGCTGGCCGTTTGATCTATATAAGAATTGATAAAACAAAAAAAGATCAGATGGCTAGACTAAGAGGGCTGCCTGAGAGCATTAAGAAAAGCAATGGTACATGATGGAGTTAACTCTTCACTTTCTGCCAGTGCGATTGCACATGTCACTGTTAGGATGGAATGGAGAATCCGTTTCAGCCCCAGGATTTGGCACAGGCTCTGAAACAGCAGGAGGAGTTGCAATTAGAATTGCAGATTTCCTGAAGGGGCTGTGTCACATCTCTCAAATGAGCCCACGGTTTACCTAGGTTCCACACAATGCTGGTGCTCCCCTTTTCCCTCTTTACAGATGGAATCATTTCTCATTAGAAATAAAGAGCAAATAAGCTAAAGCTACAGAAAAAAAAACTCTTTAGACCAGATGAATGAATTCTACAGCATGTTGGAGTCCTTGTGTAAATAATTGCATTGATCCCTTGTTTTGGGACTTAGTCATATACTATATCAAATGTTTAGTTGCTGGCAGGTAGAACAGTCTGGGGAATGGGGAAGACCAAGATCAGACTTTGACAAGCGAGTGTTGAAGTCAAGTCTGAGGTGACAGACCAGGGCTGTGTGAGAAGGTTAGGAGTAAAATAAAACAGGGATGTCAGGGCTTTGAGGCATGGTGGAGGGCCACTGGCAAAGTGGTGTAAGGATTGGCTAGCAGAGGCACTGCAGTCTCATAGTAAGAGGACCTCAGTATAGCTGTGTGAGGTCCAAGAGCTAAAACAGCAGGACAGGTTGCAGGTGGGTCAGGGCTGGATCTGTATGGGACCCAGGGCAGGAAAAAGAGGGATACACTTGATTGTACTCTTGGTTGATTGATACTCTTGAATGGAGAGGCCACTATAGCACTGTTTAGACACTAAGGGTTAGAACAAGGGTGTAAGAGTTTACTGGGGCATAGGCAGTCAGTCTTAATGATTAGGGGTGTACCAGAATGGAAAAGAAGGTCAGCGCTAGGTATCAGTCCCAGTTCCAGGATGTCAAAAGAGGGTCATGGTCAGAGCAAACAATTGAGGCCAGGAGATTCAAGGCAGTAACAAGATTTAACTGAAGTCAGGAGTGTCATAAACAACTGCACCAAATAAGGCTGTTGCTGGGACAAGGGCCTGCAACAAGTGGGAGGATTTATAGCCCTCAAGTCAGGTGTTTGTTGGTTCCCACTGGTTCCTGCTGGGGCTGGGGGCTGGCTGGGTGCCTGGTGGCCTGGGCTTCTGCCTGCTGGTTCCAAAGTTCTCAAACCTCAGGGATCCTGATAGGAAGGGTGGTGATACTGAGATGCTGAAGATGCAACATGTGCTCATCTCTGTGACCATTATGACTGGGGTATGTTATGGGAATCTGGTCCAGGTTGTAAAACTATTTTGCTATGTGTTTTCCCTTCACGTGATCATACTTTTTCTAAAATAACTCTTGAGCACAAAGGGAATCCCAGTGGAGAGTTTTCAGTTCTTCTGGATAAAACAGTTCTCCCAGCCAGAGTGAGCACTTGCTTAGGACCATCCAAGTTAGCATGAAGCCCTCACTCTGACAGTAGACCAAGAATAAGGAAGCACAATGAACACAAAGTAGACCCCAAAGTGGTTTACCTTGCAGGAACACTTCATTGAGAAGTCTTTGCAGCTGTGAGGCATTGATCTCTGAACCCTAAGGCAGAACAAACAAGAGCCTTCATAAGCACTGGGTTTCCTTATTTCTCACCTTGACCCTGACTTCTTTTCCTCACTCTCTAGAAATCAGAAGTAACTCCATTGGTTAGTGGACTGATACAGCTGCAAATTGGGTGGATGAATTGGGCTCTCTGAACCATTTTCTTTTCTTTGTAGACCAATAATCAGCATTGCCAATGCAAGCATCTCAAAGTGCTTTCTGAATATTATTGCCACAAGGCAGAGTGGAGAAGTAACCTCCCCATGTTCATATAGATAAGGAGCTTTGGAGGGTTTAAGATCCACATCCAATCTCCTTTTGGCAGGATAACACAACTTCCGTCAGGGAAGGTTGACAAAGAAACCACCTACTTTTTAGCCTGGAAACCTTGTGATCAGGGCACGTGCCTGTAGCCTGGAGGACTCAGGTTCTAACTCCCAGTCCTTGCTGGAGGGGTTTTTTTAGCTACTTCTCTGTGATACATTGTAGCTAGCAAGCAAGCCATGGGCTAGGCAGTTGCAGGAGTGCTCTCCTGTTGACAGCATGCCTACCTGTCTAAACCTGATGTTGGATTTGAACCTGTTACTTGTCCAAGGTCACAAAAGAAGTCTTTGGCTGAGCAAAGCATAGGATTCAGGCCTCCCTATCTGGTGGTTTAACCCCCACCTCACCTTGTTCCACCTAGGATTGCTCTGGGGGGTCTTTTTTATCTGAAGATGTACAAGATAAGCCAAAGCAAAATTCTTCTGAATTATACAGTGGTTTACTGGGATATCAGCAACTAGGCAAAATTATGAATAACAGCTACATACAGTAGTGAATATACAGCTATACTGACTACAGGGTGGTGGCTTTTCAGGTCCCTCAGAGCCTGTTGTCATAGGAAGTACAAACTCCAGACTCCCACGTGTGTTTTGGCACTGCAGAGTTGTATTCAGTTCAGATACAAACTTTCTATATTTTTGCCCATTTCTCTGAAATAATGATCTCTTGCCAATTCAGGAGGGAGCAGGGAAGTTTTGAGTTATGATTTGACATATGTTTCTACCTGGGGTTTTATCAGCATCGGTGTGGTCACCAGCTTATCCCTCTTGACTCACTTGAAACAGTCCCTCATGGATGCACTCTCTTTCACATGCTATTTGTTATGATTCAGATTGAATCATTTCTGGCATCAATTTGTCAGTGAGAAGGAATGTAGTGACATATCTGGCACCAAGGAGTTCGGGGTATCAGGCCTCCCCAGCAACCTTTACTATTGCTTAATTCATTATTTGATTGTTTGCTTAGAGATGTTGGGCCACCTAAAGGTAGAGATGATCCATTCAAGTACTCAGTGCACTACACCAGTTAACCTGTGCTCTATACAAGTCCACTTATTTTATGCCTGGCTCAGCCACCAACTTCTTTTGTGACTCAGAGAAGAATGAAGAGGTGGTATGTAGCCACCTCTGTGTCCCTTCCCAATCCTGCAAACTCTAGGTACAGGGCAACGTTCCTCTCATGAGTTCAAGCAACATAAGGCTGCTTTCTCCTGCTAGTAGTTTCCGGAGACTTGTATAGCAAGTAGGAATACATAAGGGCATGCTAGGCACACCCTCTTTCTTGGCCACCAGGCAGGTAAAGGCACAATGGGATCTAATAGACTTAAGGTAATTAAGCTCATCTTAAGGTAATTGCACAATTAACCAGTTAATTGCGCAGTACCTGTAAGTGTAGAGGGGGCCAGAGTGACTACCCTGTCTTTATGTTGCAAGAGGATTTATCTATTCACTATTATTCTGGCATAAGCAAACTGAGATTCTGAGCCACTGTCTCCTCTTGTACATTGACCCCATAGATCTAATCTGTTCATCTGTAGACTAACATACAATCTGCCTTCCTTGTCCCCATTACACCCCAAGACCCCTTCAGTGCATTCTGTATGACTGTCTGTGTCATTTTCACCTTTATGCATTGATATAGCTATTAGCCGTGAGAGGTCTATTGTGCAAAAGCTTTTGGCAGCAATTTTTTTCCCTTGACTAAGTCAAGGAGTCCTTTATAACAGTTTATTAAACCATTAAAAGCATCTCCTGTGAACACACACAGCTTGGCTCAGAGAGAACGGGAATCAATTACTCCAACACTGACTGATGTATGCTTTCCAAATGCAGCAAATGCAAGCTGGAAACAATCCTGATCAGAGGGGGAAAATATCCGAGACTTACTGCTAATTGCTTGTTAAAAAAAAAAACCCAAACAAACAATGATCCCCTAATATACCAAGCTAGCCATTCTATTCCATCTTCCATTTTTCTTTTTCCTCTGGATTTTGGCAGGCAGATCAATACTGTTTTGAGGATATCCATTTGAGGACTGATAAACCCACATTTATTTCTAAAGCCATTTTTCAGTGTGGATTGATGGCAAGAAAACAGCTATTTTTTTAAAATGCCACACACATTTTTTATTGTTTTTTTCTATTAAGCAGTTTTATTGAGGGTACCTGCTTAGCATATCTTAGAAAGATGTTTTCATAGTTGTTGTCTTGGTTCTGTTTGGATACATCCTGGATTAAAGCAGAACAAGCACATACAGAAATTAGTCACAACAGAGGTAGGGGGCAGAACCTCGTTATTTATGTAGCTTTGTAGATACATACAGCACTTTATAGTTGGCAAGCTATGTATAACAAAGGATACAGTATTGTGCCTCAAAGACCTGGCAGTTCCAAGGAAAGAAGAGATGCAGCAGCGATTAGACAAGAAGCAGCGTGCAGATGTTACTGCTATATAGAAGAGGGGTGGGGGTTCAGAAAGGATTTGGAGGACAAGTGGGAGACCTTGGTGTCCCTTAATGGAAGGATGTTCCTAGCAGAGGTGCAGCTCCCAGATTCTGCATCCTACACAGGTGGTGGCAGGGGCTGAGCTTTCTGGGACAGTGGTGGCAACTGCTATTTCTGCATGCCCTTTAAATAGGTGCCTGAGGCTGGTGCCTGGGTCACCCACCCCTCATTATGCTAATGGTTCCAAGCACGGAGACAAAGGAGGGGTCAGAAGAATCTTAGATGGATGGTCAGCAGTATGTGAAAATCACAATGGGAATTGGGAAGCCTAGGCAGAAATACATGAAGGAGGGAGACATGTCTGAGAGGAAGGCTGCATAGGCAGGATTGAGTTCATCTTTTGGGCCCAGGCTGCTAATCGTCTCCCATGCAAGTAGTTCCACTGATTTAATAGGATGATTCACATGAGTAAGGACCATTTATATGAGCAAGGTTTGTAGAATCAGGTCCCATGTTAAGAAAAGGCGAAATATTGGTTAATGACATTTGGTGGGGAAGTTGACAGCATCTGAATGCAACTGGGTAACAGATACTTATGTTTATGCTCTCATTAATGGGGCTTAATTGCTGACTAGATCATTACCAAAAAGGGGCTTGAGTTTCTCTTCTCTGACACCATTCAATGTAGTGGTGGTACTCCTACTTTTCACTGCTCTTAGCAAGAGGAAAATCAGGCATAGTGTTTTTCAAACTGAAGCTCCACACAAGGCAGGAGGGGGATGTCCAGTAGAAAATGCCAGCTCTGGAAAGTCTCTGAGTCACAGAGGGCTAGTCTAGCAGGTGGACTAGAAATTGTACTGCACATGGGCAGCAATTATGTGGGCCCAAATCTGATCTCACAGTAGTTATAACTGGTGTCATTTCACCAACTTTCCTAGAGAGACACTGATATAACTGAGGAGTGAGAGGAATCAGGATCAGAGCAGAGCTGCATTAAAGAATATTTGTTTCTGGCAATCCATCATCTTCTATTACATGGACTAATCCTCATGTAGAAAGTAAACATGCAGTGCTGCAGATTGGCATAGACTTGATGACAGTGATTTCAGGTGCATTCACTAAATATCAAGGACTTGGTTCTGAAGTTCTCTCTCCAATGAACTGGTCTCTTAGTACAGGGCTATCCAACTTCTAAGCAGCTGGGGGCTGCACACCCTGTGGACCGCATTAGGGGTGCATGGACCTCTGGGGCGCATGCTGCATGCCTCTCTTCCTCCACTGCACCGTGCACCCATTACTACACCATGTGCCCAGGTGCCTTCCTTCCCCTATACTGCACTGTGCCTCTCAGGTACCCTGGGCTGCAGACTGCAGGCCCCACCAGAGGGAGAGGGAGCCCAGACACCACTATTTAACCCCTCATGGGCTACATGAGGCCCATTGGACAGCCCTGCCTTAGTCTTATTAGCAAAATAGTACAAAGGAGTGCAGAATGGCTGTGCTGAGCCCAGATCAAGGCATCAGACAAAAGAGAAAGCAAAAGCCATGGTAGTGAGGAGGGAGAAAAGTGGGGGAAGAAAAGAGGCTTTTTAACACCTGTACCATAAAGCTGATTCATGTACCTCCACTTGTTTAAATCAGAAGCTGGCTCCCTTTCAGAGGAGAGGGACAGCTACTTCTGACCCAGCCACTACCACAAGCTACCATCCCCTTGGCAGTGCCCAGGCCACCTGCTGCTGCCTCTGCCTTGCACCATCACTGACTCCCATTCCCAATGGCAACAGTGAAGGCCAGATTTGGTGGTGACAGTAAGCAGTGCCTGCCAAAGGGGGTGTAGAGAGAGCATGGAGTGCTGCAATGGGGGCAACACTTAGGAGATCAGCAGCATGGTAATGGCAGAGAAGGGAGGCATGCCAGGCCAGGCCAAGTGCCGCTGAGAGCTGGTTTTCAGCCATCATAAGATGCTAACCCCTGATCTTAATCACTTTTCACATTTTCCTACCTTTAGCAATATGGGGCTGAGCCTGGTGGTCGGGTATCTAGAAAATATCACAAGAGTTATATCAGAAAAGAGAGCATTTGAGTGCAGATCTGCAGAAGAGGGTAGTGGACACTGCCTGGGAGTCCCACTCTTCAGGTACCATGAGTGTGTCAGCAGTGATGCTTGTAATAGTGAGCAACACATGGCTTTGGTTCATAACTGGACCTCATAAATCTCAATAACCAATCCAGTGCCTAGGGATCTTTATTAAGCTACTTCATTAAATAAAAATGGATTTGAACAGCAAAAACAGCCTGTGCACATGCCTTTATGTGTGGTCCAGTTTCTTGCTTTGCAAACACACTGAGGACTCACATTTGAGGGCTGTACCTTGCAAGTGGCCCTCAGTCAAATCGGAAGAGTGTACTGCTGTAGCAGTGATCAAAATGAGCCTGATTCTCTTCTCATGCCTGTTTCACTGAGCACTAACTTCTCTGGATTTACACCAGTATCAGGAAGAAGAGAATCAAGCCCATAGTCTGCTCAACCAGAGCTTTCTTCTCAAGGAGGCAAGAGATCCTTGTTGCCTTACACTGAGCATATCTTTAGGAAATCTTCCCCTCATTTCCTTTTAGCCAGTTTAATAGTTACAAACACAAGATTAATATTATTAATAAAAAGACTCAAGGAGCACTTGAGGACATGAAAAAGCAACAAGTTTAACACAGAAGACAAATTTAAAGTCCACATAAAAATTAACCTGTTGGCCTCATTGTTACTGAGGCAAATAAAAGAGCAGTGCTCAGCACTCCAATCTTGCTTTCGTTGAAGAAGCAATATTTGCAACATACTTTATATTTCCCTGTGTTTACTGTACTACAGCAGTTCCCTAGCTCTGAGTGTACTGGCAGTTGTGGTAGGCCTGGTCACACTCTTCATTCCCAGTTGCTACCTTCACCTACACTGGGTGGGTCTACATGTGCAAATAATGTGATGCAATAGGGCATGTGTAGATGAAACGGGGGCCCTAAATTGAAGCGGTGGGTTTTTAAAAACAAGAGTTCAATTTAGGGCCCTTTAAACCCCCGTGTCGTGCACACACCCGAACTCACCTGCCTCTGCGGTGGCAGGAAGGGGAGGGCTAGCTGCCAGCAGGAGGAGCAGTCCTTGGACTACGGGGGTGGGGGGTGCTTCCCTCTGTGGCAGTGGTGACCCCCCTCCACCTCCTGGTGGCACCCAGCCACAGGCAACTGGCTCGGGCAGTCCCAGGGGGCACAGGGAGTCATAATATACATGCAGCCGCAGAGGGAAGCACCAGGTCCCTGCACAGCTCAGACAGGCAGGCAGGCAGGCTCCAGGAAAAAAAAGATCAGGCTCACCGCTTTTCTTGGGTGAAGCCTATCTTCCCGGGCTGCTGCCAGGCTGCCTGCACGGGCTTCCTGCAAAGCCCTGGAGCTGCATGGAGCCCAGTGCTTCACTCCACAACTGTAGGGCAGCAAATTAAAACTTTGCCAGCATCTCGCCCTCCCCTCCTCTGAGGAGTTTTAGTTTGCTGCACCCAAAGTTTTTTAAGGTGCATTACACCACCAAATTTGCTATAGCGGCTGGAATTACTGAGCAATACACCACCAATGCATGCAAACACCAACACCATTAAAGTGGTATAAAAGCATGTAACCTGCTTCAAAGTGTCATGCACACATGCCCCTTGTTTTGCCTACACAGCCATAAACTCTGGCGCATATTGTGGGGCTAGGTAGCAGGCAGTCCCTGCACTGTAGCATTCTCGTGCCCCAGCCAGCATCTACATGTGCACTGCAGCGCACTAAATAATGCCACCGTAAGATAGCCCTTGTGTTGACTACGGCAGTGTTTATTAGATTACTGCAACCCAACAGGGCTGTAAAAGTAGATGCTGAGACTTTACTGTGGAGCTAATTAGGTAATGCCACAATAAATGTTTCATGCAGATGTGCACACTGAACAGTATCTTGCTACTCAGTCAGCATGTCTACATGAGATGTTTATTGCAGAGTTGCCTAACTAGCTCTGCAGTAAAATCTGAGTGTCTACACGTGCAGCCCTATTATGCCACAGTAAATTAATAAAGTCTGCCTTAGGTTAGTACTTGTAAACACAAGTTCCGTCCTACAGTAGCATTCTTTAGTGCACCAAAATGTACATGTAGACACTGGCGGGGCTCACTGGGGCATGAGAGCACTTCAGTGCAGGGGCTGCCAGCTGACTAGCCTTGCACTGGAGTACCCTCTTGCTCCAGCCAGCCCCTCTGCAGCACATTGAGCCAAGTTGGACCAGCCCTGGGCTGGCAGGCTGACCCCTCTGAGCCCCCTGCCCCCTCTGAGCCAGCACAATGTGCTGTGGTCCTGGGCACATGTGTTAAACATGGCTCCTGGAAGCAATAAACTCTGGCACAACACGTGCCAGCAATTACTGCATCACATTAATTGTATGTGTTGATGTGCCTAGTGACTATGTTTACACATGTGCTTAACTGTGGAGTAGACTAATTAGCTGTAGAGTAAAGCATCGCCATCTACACATGTGACAGTATTAGGCCACAGTAAACTAATTAATCCTGCAATAAGATAGTAATGTTGGGGACAGTACTATCTTATGTTGGGGTGATTTACTGTGATTAAATTCACATGTAGACATTGACCATGGGTGTAAATTGCTCCTCATCAAGCCAGCCAGCCTAGGGCCAGACTCCTGTCTGCTGCCTAGCCACATGGCTCTGCACTTTTAGCACGCTTCTGACTCAGCCAGCCCCTCTGCCACCTGATGCTGCCAGGCAGAGCCCAGGGCTGACCCCCCTGTGCCCTCTGCCAGCTTGGGCCTGCTCTGCTTCAGCTCAAATTGCTGCTGTCCTGGGCACATGTGTAGATGTTGTGCCCAGCAGTTTACTCTGGCTCAAACTGCTCCAGAATTTATTGCTTCTGGGTACCACATTTACATGTGTGCCCAGGACCATAACATGTTGCACTGTGTTGGAGCAGCCCCAGCTGGCAGGAGGTCTGGGGAGGTCAGTCTGCCAGTCCAGAGCTGCTCTGACCCAGTTCAACATGACAGTACTGGGTCATAAGAGTGCTCCAGCTTGTGGCTAGCTGGCTGACAGCCCCACACTGAATACCCTCATGCCCCAGCCAGCCCTGTCAGCATCTATACATGTGTTGCAATGGAGTAAATAACTCTGCTATAGGATAGTATTTGTATTTACAAGTTCTAATCTATGGCAGAGTTAATTAGTTTACTCTGTCCTAATAGCACTGCACATGCAGACACTGAGAGTTTACCGCAGAACTAATTAGGCAGCTCAGCAGTAAACATCTTGTGTAGACGTGCCCAGTGAGATGATTTGTGGAGTAAGACCCCCAAGCCACAAAAGGTATTTAGGTAACAAGCTCCCAATGGTTATGAATGAGAGCTGGCTGCCAACACACCTTGGAGGTTATAGGCCACAGTTAGTAACAGATGTGAGTAAGGGCATGTCTATCCCACCTCTGCAACACTCCTGAGAGGACCACTAAATTCAGACCCTGCCCGCCCCCTTCAACTCCACATGACAAAGCTAGAAATGAGACAGTGTAACTGGTCTGAGGTTACCCTCTGCAGCTACTCTTTAAGCGGGGTGGAGCCAAAGACCTGGAGAGCAGCAGAAGGGGGATGATATGTGCAGAACGGGAGCATCTTGGTTGAATGTGGCTTTTAGTAGTGCTCTCAGGTGTGCCACAGCTGCAGAACAGACATGTCCTGGAACTGACAGAATTCTTCCCCCTGAGAGAAGCTAAAACTATATTGGCCCAGACTGCAGCTCTCTAACATGCATAACCAAGCAGTTACTCATATGAATAACCCCAGTGAAGTCAGTCTAGCTTAAAGCCTTTTTTCAAAACTAATTGTTGCTGCAGGCTTGAACGTTTTGCTATCACAAGTCAGAGGAAGTGTTCATCAAACAATCTCTTAAGTGAAGTGTGGGCCATATTATGTGAGAATCCAAATACAGGGTATAGTGCAGGGTATTGTGGCAGTGCCATTATGTAGTGCATTTACAGGAAATGCATTTATGTTGGCTAGAAATAACTTTACAAGCATTGTTCCAGAATCTACAAACCTATCTTTACTGGCTGACTTTCCATCCCCTGTGGAATGCTATTGATCTGTGCAATGAATCAACCCACATAAATTGCACTACAGAATCAGGTACTTCAGTTGTAAGCACCATGCCATCTTTTAATGCCTCTGCAGAACACTAGCACAACGGGGCACTTATCTTGATAGGGACCTATCAGCATTATTGCAATGGAATTATTTAAGAACAACAGCAACTAACACAAGGTATGAGTCCTTTTTTCTTGGAACAGAAGTTTACTACCAGCTGGAGGGACATCTCAGATACAGAGAATGTAATGCGATGCTCAAAATGATGCTTAATGAATGCTTAGGCTTTCCTGGAAAGCATGGGCATGTGTGCTGGAAATGTGATCATTGACTTGATAACCCTAGATGGAGCATTGTTGTGTTCTGTGACTGCAGTCCTGCAGAAAGGTGTGCCTAGCCTACATGCCTACCAGTGTTACCAACACCATCCTTGCCACTAAAACTGATCTTTGCATTATTTTTCCACAAAACCAATAAAAACAAAACTTTGCAGTACTTGCCTTGACTATAGAAACAGTCCTAACAAGCATTCTAGCTCTGCACACTGTAAACGCAGCTCATATAAGTGGCACTTATAACAATCTTACTTGCTGTAATCTTGACTCCGCAGGAAGATTCGTAGGAGGAATTCAGACTCCTGGCCTTCTTCTGACGTAGCTGGAATAATTACATAGGTGCCCTGGCTCAAGGTAAAGTAACTGGTGATGTCTCGGTCTGGGGTGAAATGTTTCTTCGAAGGTATAAATTTATATTGAGAGAAAAATGCAGCTGGCAATCGATCCAGCAGGCCCTGGAACTGAAGGAAATTGTTGCCAGTGGCAATTTTGTACTCTTACAGCACCTCTCAACCACACTGATCCAAAATAGCTTTACAAATTCCAGCTTGTGTAAATGGGAATCACCCCACCCACCCCCAAATGTGCACATTTCTGGTGTGGAACAGCAGTTAAGAGCACCCAGCAGCACTATGCAAGAGTGTAGAAAGTGAAAAAGAACGGGGGGGCGGGATTTTAGATGGGCAAAGCATGGTTAACCAATCTGGAATTTGTCCAGGGCACTGAGGCAAATAACTTTATTCTTGCAAAAGCTTCCCTGGGACATATCATGGTCATGAGTGGTTTGAACCCTGGTTAAATATTTCATCCAGCCAAAAATGTCTCCTAGCAGCAGAGCAGCAACTTTACATTGGTTTTTTAAAGGAAATAACATACCTTGATATTTCTTCTGTTATTCCAATATTTTTGTCAAGAGGAAACAAATATAATGTAACAGCTATTACTATGATGGCATGTAAAGATAGCATAATAAAAAAGCCCTTACTAAACACATTCCCCCCAAATACATCAGAGTGTATAAATTCCATTTAGAATGGTTATACAGCGTGACACAGTTATTTATGAGCCATGTCATCAGGAGAAAATATTATAAGCCTTCTGTCTGGGGGAGAAAAAAGACTGCTATTGGGAACAGGGGAGATATTTGGACTTCAAGGTATTGCAGGCCAGATGCTCAGCTGGTATAAATGGGTGTTGTTCCATTGAAATGAATGGTGCAATCCTCATTTACACCATCTGAGCCTTACTCTGAACTCCTTCCATTGAAAACGCAGAAGTAACTCCTGTATATCCCAAATGAGTAAAGCTAGTGCAAGATCAGAATCAGGCCAGCTATGTTTACCCAGCTATTGCACAACATTAAACCTCCCTTCCAGCCATGCATTAGTGCTCCATGTCTCATAGCCCTAGGAAACCCTTTAATAAATACAGACATATCCATTTTGTTGTGCACCCTGTGCTGTACAGTGCTGCTTTCTCATCCTGCCAACACTTACTATCTATTCTGCTTCCAAGTGGTGATTTGATGGGTCTCAAAATGTACTGAAAAATGAATAATGAGAGCATGTTGTTTTGCAGGGGGGAGTGAGAGGTGGGTGAATTTTAGCATGTGCCAGTCAGGCCCAGCGAAAGGAGAAGCTGCATAAGCAACTGGCCTTCTTTACATGGGAAAGTTCCTTCTGTATAATTTAAGGTTTGAATTTAAACCAATAATAAGAGTGACACCCTCTGGTGTGGACATTCTTATAGTATAGAACGATATGGCTGGTAAAATTACATAATTCGACTGCCCGTGTCCCTCAATAATAAATGCCAGCAACTTCTCTCTTCAGGTCTTAAGCTTCCCATTAAAAGGGTCTTGCATTGCATAAAATTCTGAGGCCCCACTTGAGCTAGACATTTCATCAGATGTGGGCCATAGGCAAATATTTCCTGATGATGACACCATGACTGCTAAACTCATTCCATTTGTGATCCCAGTCAAATTGGAACACAGAGCTCTATGGTGAAATGGTGACTTGGAGCATAGAATAATACACTACTTGGCTTCCTGATTTCAGGTTAATTCAATTGCTACATCAGACATGCAGATTCAGATCCTTAGCTGGTGTGAAATGGTATAGCTATGTTGAAGATGGTAAGGCTGTATCAAATCCCACCAGTTCAGGACATGGCCCTTTTGGCAAGAACACTCAAAAAGTTTGCATCATCTTGTGTGTGTTTGGTATCTTCAGACTTAGAAAACCAGGATGCATAAGGATCCTAAGTATCAGGTTTGAGATAATTATGGCTTCCTTAAAAAACAGGGATCCACATCTTGGTAAGATTAATTGAGCCCTTCACACATCACCAGCAGATAAATTAGGCACTCCTCTGTTTAATATATTCAGAAACAACTCCATTGGGGTCTACACAAGTTACACAAGTTTATCACAGACTCAGGTCCACTGTTTATTGATCTTTCAGACAAACCCTCAAAAGGCAAGGCTTTGGTCTACACCATTTGGATATCTGGCACTTCTTGAAAGATCAGAGGTTTACACGGGTGAACTTGGCCAACCTTCTCTGTCTGCACTCTACTGTACTCTGTGTTTGTTAACTGCTTCCCACACCAGAGGTGGCTGCATTTCAGTGATATGTGTATGTTTCTATATGCTATGCGTCACAACTGATACAGTTTTACTGCATTAAAGTTTGGATTTGTGACATATCAGGCAAGGAGATATACTGGTAATGCACCAAGGGGAAGGAAACTTCAAGAAAATAAAGGCAAAATATTAGTTAAAGTATTGCAGTAAACTTAAAGAAATCAATACAGCCAAAATCAATGTTAATGTTCACACTTTCTGCGATTGCTCTTCAGTCCTGAAGAATGTTGTTTATAAATATATGGATACGAGAAGGCAGTACTTATATATATGCTGTCCACACATACATATAATTATTGGAATTGATCATATTTCTCCAGGTTTTTAATGACAACACAGACTGAAAATTCAATTTTGAATGAGTTCGCCCCTCCCGCTGCCTCCAGCTCTGGAAATTATTGAACATTTAAAAAGAAAAGATGAAAATAAAGTGAACATACCTGGGGTTCAACCTGAGGAGATAAAAATACATATTTTCAATAAGACCAAGCAAATCTAAAGACCTGCCCTCTATTCCAAAACTCTTGATTAGACAAAAAAACCCTTTTTATTATGATCTAGTATGAAAGTTGTCAGTTTGGGTCCCCTCCCCCTTTATATCACTCCCACACCAAACGCCTGCTCCCAGCATACATACAGAATAACTTCACAGAAAGGAAAGGCAATTCACCAAGGGTCAGACTGTGCTGCTGTTACTCACAATGAGGACTGCTCTAATACCTTAATACCTAATACATGTTGGAGGTGGTTTAATTTACCACGATAATTGGAAATCTACCACGATAAAACCAGGTCAACATGTATCTGCAGACGTGACCAAGCTACCAAAATGGCAATTTTTGCTGTCATTTCGTGAGGTGCATCTAGGTAACGCATTATGTGGACAAGGGCCCTTCCTTCCCATGATTTCAATAGAGCTGCTTATAGAGATACTATTCAGTGCAACTATGGGCTTCATAATCCAGTCCTAACAAGTACCATTTCTACTATTTGGACAAAATGGGTCATTAGCTCAGAGGGCAGTGAAATGCCCAATGCTTGATGAATCTTGAGGGACTCCTAGTCAAGAGATATAGTCAGAGATTTCCCTTTTCACCTACAGCAGCAGCAGCAGTAACTCTTAAGGTACTGCCCTTATAGCATCCTACAGGACTAATAACTACACAATATGAAGTATTGTGGGCAAGGATTAGGAGTTCCACTGACTGGATGCTCTTTATATTGCCTTTTACTCCTCACCAGAGATCACTGCTGCTGATTTTTAATGGGCTATAAAATCTGGGACGAGCATTGCTCTATTTTTTCATGAGTAACCAGTAGATTTATGACATCATTTACTCTCCTGAACCTCAGAGTTTGGCTTTGAGTGAAACCTCCCTCGAATTCAAGAATGCTCATATGTGATGTTTGATTCAGGCCAGTCTCGATGTCATTTATTCTCCCAGTTTTAAAAACCTCTGTGGGCAGTGGCAAGTCCACTTACAATCCACCAGCTGCAATATCCACAATATATGTGACAATGCCTTGACAATCACAACATTCAATGCTGAAGGACTGCAAATCACCCTTGCCTGTTTTAGACAGGAGGCTCCCACCGAATTAGTGAGCCCACGTGTGTCTGCCACATCTTCCTCTTCCCATAGGCACTCTAACATGCACCAGGTCAGATTCTACACTGAAGTAAAATGGCTGCTTCTAGCTCAAGTTACCAGCCACTTCCCATATGCATTGGAGGACATATTTCAGCTTCTAATATCTATATAGAGGCAAAACCAAACCACACCTAAAATGCCAGACTTGCTGCCCATAATGGCTGGTACTGCTTACCCAGAAGATGAAAAAGCCAATGGCCAGTTTTGGTGTATCTTGTGCATTGTTGGGAGGTTTCTGCATCAGTGACACCACAACATTATTCTTTTTCTGATCAGCATCCACCACCTTGATGAAGTACTGAGGATTCCTTGAAAATGCTTCTGCTGATAAACGATTTGTTTAATTAGTAGTAGTATACTAGTGCCCACCTGTCTGAACCAAGATGAGGACCTGACTGGTAGATGTTGGGCATACCCATGGTAAGAGAAAATCCTTGCTCCAAGGAGCTTACAATCTAAACAGACAAGACAAACCAACCGTGTGAAAAAGAAAGGACCATCTCCAGCTTGGGGAGGGGGAGCTAAGGCACAGAGTTAACTGAGTAGCTGAGCAATGACTACACAGAAAAGTTATGATGAAGTCGAACACTTATCCCAGATCTGCGTCCCAGTCCAGCACCAAGGCTAGCTTTCCTCAAGACATCAAGGGCAGACAGAGATGCAATGAGGTGAAATGGATTTTGGCTTAGATTTCATAGCTGCACAGCCAAGGAAAGAACAGCTCAAATAAATTCTACTCATCTTCCAGGTAATTGTTCACCATGAAAAAAATGTAAGGTGGCAGGAGCAACGATGGGCTTCTAAAACATAAAGGCCTTTGCAGGCCTGTAAAGCAATGGATCTAAGAAGCACAGTTGATAAGTAATGCCAATCTTAAAAGAACTGCGCTGAAATATCCACATGGTCACATGGGGCTGAGCAGACAGCTTCCCCTTCAGCTTGTCTATTCTTTAAATATTAAAAGATCACAGGGGCAAAGCTATATTAGGTTGGTATTTGGAGATGATGGTTTATTCACAAGTAGTTACACTTTACTCAAGGGCACATTCAGTCATGGGCTAGATTAAAGGGTTGATGGAAAAATGTACTTCCACAGACAGGGGCTTCCTTCCATAAGTTGTCCATAGAGTACTACAAGCTTTCCAAACAGAACAAGCACTGATGCCTCCCTGTATTCTTAACCCTGCCCTGCGCACCAAGTTCAGACATGCTTACGATATTTTTGCTGTTAGAACATTGTAGTCAGTGACAGGAGGAGACTGAAACCCATCTTTTTCTAAGTAAGGGATCAATGTTGAAGGTAGAAGCAGCCCTTTATTGATCACAAGTCACTCTCTTAGATTAAAATAACAAAAGCCAATAGTGATATGGCAACAACAATAGCAAATCGGAGCTCCCCACAACTGAGCACTCAGAGCAGAGACTGCAACACTGAGGTTGATCGGGTACCAAACATAGATACCCTTCCTTTTCTCACCTCCAGAACTGCTTTGGGATTCTAACCAATTCATCTTATATGTATATATCTTCTGTACAATTCTTTGCTCTGCCGAACAGTCTGGATATCTTGCCAGACTGGATTCTCTAATGAGACTTCCAGTAACTCCTTGTTCAGCCAGGTGAGAATAACAGACAAGTGAGTTTTGATTTAAGAGTCCAGGATTTCTTAAATCATGACTCATTAGTTGACTCAGAGGTGGGGGCTGCCTCTTCACTCCTGCCTGTTTTGCTGAGAGCTAGCTTTCGTGGTAGAAGATATCAAGCATTAACCATTTTTAATCACTATTTTTGCAATGTGGTCCTCAGAAGCTTTTGCTGTTTGTGTGTGTGTTTTGGTTGGAGGAACAGAAGAAAATGGGGACAGGTTTGGAGATAGGACTAAGTTATTTATTACCAGGGATCTGGGTTTCCCATTCACCATGGAAAGACATGGTAAAACCCAGATTTTCTCATTTTAAGGAGAAAAAAAACAGATGTTGTCCTTTAAAGAAGAAAAATGTGGGAAACAGTGGGTTTCCCCTTGAAGGCTGGCAGAGTTCCAGCAAGCAAGGGGCTGGGGGGAGCAGGAGGAGGGTGTCTGCTGCCTGACCACCATGTGTATGTGCGCACAGACACATACACTTGGCCACCAGGCAACCTGGAGAGCAGCTCCCTGCAGGTAAGTCTGGTGGAGTAGAGTGGGGAAGGATTGAGGTCCCCATAGTGAGGGAGGGAGGGAGGGAGGGAGGGAGGT